GTGGGCTGAGGCGTAACTTTGGGTGCCTGACATCTGTCCTCTGCATCTCCTGCAGGTGACCAAGGAGGAGTTCTTAAGCTATTATTCCGGAGTCAGTGCCTCTGTTACGCCCCGCCGGTGAACCGGCAATGGGAGGCGGGAGCCCCGACCAATACTGGGACTCCACGTTAGATATAAACCCAAAAACACCGCAGCCCGGTGTGAGGTATATATGTAGATGAATAGATACAAACTGCGCATAACTTTCCCTGTCTTTCGTTTAGCTCCGTTCCACCCTGCTTGCCCTGCCCGACTCTTCCTGCGACCCGTCTCGACCTCCCTCCTGCCCTTCCTCCCCTCGCTCTTCCTCTTCGTGAAACCCCCGTGTGCTGTGTCTGTGTCACCGGACGGATCTCCTGGCTCTCGACCCATTTGCCTGCGACCCCGACAACGAATCCGGATCCTGACCCTGGCCTTCCCGATCTCCTGGTTTTCGACCCTGCCTGTACGGCCACGATTCTGCCCGCTCCAAGTTTCTATTGCTACTGCATTGTGCAATAAAGACTCTGTTACACATCCCTCTGTTGGTCCTAGCGGGTTTGTGACAGCCTCCATCGACAGCGACGTATACTTTATTCTGATGATGAGGAGTGCATGGAGACTCTGATTTTCTATTACTGTTGTTATTATTTTTACTTTTTCCTGGGACCTTTTCTGTGGATGTTTTTGTATATGCACTTGTATGCATAAAACTAATATCATACACATAAATTAAATAAATGTCATTCTATGCATCAAAATGCTTTCCGATTCTGTAATACAGTAGAAAAGAGAGCAATAATGGTGGATAATCAAATTGTGGCTTGTGATTGCTGTTAATCTTCAGAGTTGGATAATTCAGGTCAAAAGAGTAAACGTCCGGGATTTTGTTTCAACCAACCAGTTGAGCATAAGAGTCACAGTCACAGAGTACTCAACTGGTTGGTTGAAACAAAATCCCGGTCTGGACTTTTACTCTCTAGACCTGAATTACCAAACTCTGTTAACGTTTGACATAAATGCAGGTTTTGAAAGACACATTAACATTGTGAGTTGACGATGATTCAGGGTGTCCTCAGCTTTCATGTTTAATGGAACAGAATCCAGGCGCACTGTAAATCTATAGTGGATAAGCAGTTCTGAAGATGGAGAGATGGTGATTTTCAGTTGCTGGAATCTACCCCTGACAGCATGGACCACTTGAATGGGATGCTGGCCCATCACAGGACACACACATACATGCATTCAGCGGAGTTTACAGACACCAGTTATCACAACTGTGTGTCTTAGACTATGCAAAGAAACCCATTCGACACATGTGTCGATGCAGGGGTCTGTAGTGGCAGCTGCAGGGAAGGGGGTAAGACCAGGTGGGGCCCCACAAAGCTTGTTGAGCCCCCTGACAATGCATCTTCATGGGACAACCATGTACATCTTTTTTCTCCTTGATTTTATTACGTAAATACACGTCATACATTTCTGTTTAACTTCTGCCCAGTTTGAACTGATTTATATGCACTTGACAGATTTTGTAGTTTTCGTGTAAAGAGTAACGTACAAGGAAGGTTAAATTCATTTATGAATTTTCAAGACTGGCTGAAACGGGTTTAGTTGCACATTTCTCCTTAAGGAGGACGCTGGAGTTCTGCTGAGAGCTCATCCCCGTAAGAGGACCTTCCACGCTTCTTCCCGGCATGACCATGTCATGGTGGACACTGAAAGCAGTGTGAGAAATTTCATCACAAAAAAACAGACCAGTTTTAGGATTAGTGGGGGAAGCAGTTCTGGGCTGTGCAAGTCCCGGCAGTCAGAGCAGTTCGTACATGTTGATGCCATGTGAGGGAGGTAGATTAACATTTTTGTTATTGCCATAGAACTGGGGAAGGGAACCTGATCCATGGAGAGCCGAAATGCGTGTGGATTTTTGGGATGACCACCCAATCAGCTGATTGGAAACAAGACGCACTGCTTGTTACTGGCTGATTGAGAGGTCATCCCAAAAACCCGCACCGCCTCTCCATGGATCAGGTTCCCCACCCCTGCCCTACAAAGGAAAGGCCTGGTGGTTACTTTGCCATGAATATAATGCCATTATAATGCACTAATATAAAGTACATGTTAAATAATTACATCCTGATTATTTTTAAAGTAAAAATGTAATAAATCTTGGATAGAAACATTCTTGCGTTGAAGTGCAGCACGGCAGTGCAATAGCAGCCTCTATGGGGTAATAGGAGCAAGAATGTCTACGGCAGAACTGAAGTCCTCCAACAGCATGTAACTTTGGTTGCAGATGCCATAAGTTCCTATGAGACAAAAGACACTGTTCAATGTATTCCTCCCGTAGATAGTTGCAATATAGCCCAGTTCATGTTGTCTTAATGTCTAACAGTGTCATTCCTGAGGATGGTTGCAGTCCATAAAAGCTAGAGAACCTGTAGCGATTCAGGCGTGGCATACAGGATGTCATGATTTTGGTTTGCTCAAAATTGATTCATCGTACTGAATTTGTTGAGGCTGAGCTACAATATACGGCCAAGGACTTTCTAAGTCTGGAAGACGAGTGGGCGGATTCCTGTCACTGGGTCTTGTAGAAGCTGGACATGGTGACGTACGCCTCATCTCTTCGAGGAACTGGCACATTGTTATTGCTGTTTGCCTCAGACCTGCCAGATGTCTCAGAATTTCTGTTAATCCCAGAAGCTGACATACGCCTGCCAGTCCCAAGGCCATCTTCTTCCATGTTGTCTTTGTTCTGAAGCATGGGGTGATTCTCCCCTGTATTGGCAGAAGAATTCCTGAGGATTGGTCCCATACTCCTTTGCCCACTGCTGTGTCTCCTGACTTCATAGCTGCCCACCATGTCTGGTATGTCGGGAGTCACGCGTCTCTCCTCGACTTGGTCAATCAGTTGGATGCAGTTGTCGTTGAAGCTTTCAGGATGGAAGCTAACAGGTGGACCCTGTGACCAGAGCAAGAGGAGATCATAAGCAATACTAGCACATGCAGCNCGCACTGTAAATCTATAGTGGATAAGCAGTTCTGAAGATGGAGAGATGGTGATTTTCAGTTGCTGGAATCTACCCCTGACAGCATGGACCACTTGAACACGAAACTGGCCCATCACAGGACACACACATACATGCATTCAGCGGAGTTTACAGACACCAGTTATCACAACTGTGTGTCTTAGACTATGCAAAGAAACCCATTCGACACATGTGTCGATGCAGGGGTCTGTAGTGGCAGCTGCAGGGAAGGGGGTAAGACCAGGTGGGGCCCCACAAAGCTTGTTGAGCCCCCTGACAATGCATCTTCATGGGACAACCATGTACATCTTTTTTCTCCTTGATTTTATTACGTAAATACACGTCATACATTTCTGTTTAACTTCTGCCCAGTTTGAACTGATTTATATGCACTTGACAGATTTTGTAGTTTTCGTGTAAAGAGTAACGTACAAGGAAGGTTAAATTCATTTATGAATTTTCAAGACTGGCTGAAACGGGTTTAGTTGCACATTTCTCCTTAAGGAGGACGCTGGAGTTCTGCTGAGAGCTCATCCCCGTAAGAGGACCTTCCACGCTTCTTCCCGGCATGACCATGTCATGGTGGACACTGAAAGCAGTGTGAGAAATTTCATCACAAAAAAACAGACCAGTTTTAGGATTAGTGGGGGAAGCAGTTCTGGGCTGTGCAAGTCCCGGCAGTCAGAGCAGTTCGTACATGTTGATGCCATGTGAGGGAGGTAGATTAACATTTTTGTTATTGCCATAGAACTGGGGAAGGGAACCTGATCCATGGAGAGCCGAAATGCGTGTGGATTTTTGGGATGACCACCCAATCAGCTGATTGGAAACAAGACGCACTGCTTGTTACTGGCTGATTGAGAGGTCATCCCAAAAACCCGCACCGCCTCTCCATGGATCAGGTTCCCCACCCCTGCCCTACAAAGGAAAGGCCTGGTGGTTACTTTGCCATGAATATAATGCCATTATAATGCACTAATATAAAGTACATGTTAAATAATTACATCCTGATTATTTTTAAAGTAAAAATGTAATAAATCTTGGATAGAAACATTCTTGCGTTGAAGTGCAGCACGGCAGTGCAATAGCAGCCTCTATGGGGTAATAGGAGCAAGAATGTCTACGGCAGAACTGAAGTCCTCCAACAGCATGTAACTTTGGTTGCAGATGCCATAAGTTCCTATGAGACAAAAGACACTGTTCAATGTATTCCTCCCGTAGATAGTTGCAATATAGCCCAGTTCATGTTGTCTTAATGTCTAACAGTGTCATTCCTGAGGATGGTTGCAGTCCATAAAAGCTAGAGAACCTGTAGCGATTCAGGCGTGGCATACAGGATGTCATGATTTTGGTTTGCTCAAAATTGATTCATCGTACTGAATTTGTTGAGGCTGAGCTACAATATACGGCCAAGGACTTTCTAAGTCTGGAAGACGAGTGGGCGGATTCCTGTCACTGGGTCTTGTAGAAGCTGGACATGGTGACGTACGCCTCATCTCTTCGAGGAACTGGCACATTGTTATTGCTGTTTGCCTCAGACCTGCCAGATGTCTCAGAATTTCTGTTAATCCCAGAAGCTGACATACGCCTGCCAGTCCCAAGGCCATCTTCTTCCATGTTGTCTTTGTTCTGAAGCATGGGGTGATTCTCCCCTGTATTGGCAGAAGAATTCCTGAGGATTGGTCCCATACTCCTTTGCCCACTGCTGTGTCTCCTGACTTCATAGCTGCCCACCATGTCTGGTATGTCGGGAGTCACGCGTCTCTCCTCGACTTGGTCAATCAGTTGGATGCAGTTGTCGTTGAAGCTTTCAGGATGGAAGCTAACAGGTGGACCCTGTGACCAGAGCAAGAGGAGATCATAAGCAATACTAGCACATGCAGCAGAAGGTTCTCTTCAGGATAACTTGAGGGTCTGTGAATTAATTCTCCTTGCCATTGAGCATTACGGCAGATGCTATCTTGTTGAGGGATGGATTGTGTGAAAACACCAGCATTGCTTCTTCAAATGCAAAGTATAAAACTATTAGGAAAAAATGTCTGGGAAAAGGTATCAAGATTTGATCGTGTTTGTTACCTTATTAGGCTTGTAGCCTTGAACCAGAGTGTGTTTGGGGTTTGGAATAATCGGCCAAATGATTAATTTGATACTGTAAAGAAAGGAACAGAGCACATATGCTTTTTAGACAGAAACAGGATGAGTTCCAATATCTTAAATTTCTTATCTTCCTGTCAGGACATTGCATAACATTACCCCAAATTGACAAAAACAATAAACAGTGTATGAGCCTTCCTTCTTTGACTATCTCATCTGTAGATTTAATCGTGTCTCTTTAACACAAGGGCTGATTTACACGCAGCACGAGTCATATGTGTTATCATGTTTCTATATAATCAGGTGTTCGGACAACACTGTCCCCCCCTGATCAGACAACCTTGCCGACTAAGGGAAGGAGTCATGGGCAGGATGCCTAAGAGGAAGCACTTTTCATAAGGACTTACTCCTTGTACCAATGTCGAACCATTACTCCAGCAATCAATAGCAAGAGGAACAGTGCAACCGTGACTATGTAGATGTGCAGCTGATCCGCCTGATGTCCTACTGATCCGCCTGATGTGGGGAAAAGAGGGTTTGGCATCACTGGGATGAGTAAATCAATGGGTTAGTTCATTAATGTCCATCACTGGTTATTTCTGCTTACCCTTTGGGGTATGGAACTTGCTCCAGTGGCTCCAATCACTCCAATAGCCATCAAAATAATGGCCGTTTGGTTTGCATCTGACCTTCACACAGTACTGTGTGTTCTCTCTGAGGATATCTCTGGACTCAATGTGTAACTCATCTTGCTCTACAACATAAGTCTAGCGCAAAAAAAAATTTCAATCAAACAGGCCTTTAGATATTTAAAAATCACAGTCTCCCAATTACCCCCAAAAAGCACGTTTAGCATCTCACCCTGTTGTGGCCTTTGATCTTGACTTCCCGCATTAGAACATTCTCGAGGATATCATCCTTATAACCTGTTTCAATGGATACTACTGCTTTCCATTCCTTGGCCACAAAGGTTGTACTGACCATTGGTGCATTTGGTTTTACTGCAAGAAGCCGAATTTGTAATTACATGTTTAAGATGTATGCAGTTTCTTATATAGTTAAAAAGCATGTTAAAAAGATTTACTTACTTATTTTCTTCAGTTCATATGTTTTACTGAATGGTTCCCTTGTCTGGAACAGAATTTTGAGACGGTATTTGG